TAATTACTAGGAGTGGATGATGGAGTAGGAGCAACTGAGAATGATGAGGCAGAGATAGAGACAGATGAAGAAAATGAGGATGATGTAATTGATGTGAATACTTCAGTACTGACTGAAGTAGTAGAAGGTTCAATTGTTGATGTGAATACTTCAGTACTGACTGAAGTAGTAGAAGGTTCAATTGTTGATGTGAATAATTCAGTACTGACAGAAGTAGTAGAAGGTTCAATGGTTGATGTGAATACTTCAGTACTGACAGAAGTAGTAGAAGGTTCAATTGTTGATGTGAATACTTCAGTACTGACTGAAGTAGTAGAAGGCTCAATTGTTGATGTGAATACTCCAGTACTGACAGAAGCAATAGACGATTCAATGGTTGATGTGAATTCTCCAGTAGTAGAAATGGTAGCAGAAGGTGTTGGTGTTATTACTGATGATGAAGAGCTACCACCACCATAATCTATTAAAAGGAACAGTTATAATCAGATGTGTCTTTATAAAGGTCACTTACCATAGGTACAAGTAATGACAAGGAATCCACCATATCCCATGGAACAGTTATTAACTACACTGACATTATCATAACATGATGAGAGTGAACCAGCATAGTAAGGACAATTGAAGCCAGCATAGTTAACTCCATATCTTGAATAAGTGTAATTAGCATAACTTGTATTCACTACACCAGAAGCTACAGTGGCAATAAATAACAAAATACGCACATAAAATATACAAGACATGCTCACAACTATATATGACCACTTACTATATCCATTATTTATACATAAGAGGTTAGCAGTATCATTAGTGACTCCATTGGCACACAGCTCTCCAATCGTGTAATTGAAACACATACCAACTTGGTATGTATAAGTAAAGCCATTGCTAAGACTATAATAGTCAAGGTAGGAAAATCTGGGCTGTAAATGACATGGAGGTACTATAAATGTAAAGACAAAGGTAAAAAATGGATACAAGTTATTAATATTTACTTGTGCTATAGCACATGACGATGTAGTTATTTTCAGGATAATAGCATTGAGGATCAAAAGTAAAGTCATAATTACAATCATTAAAGCTAGTAGCATTATCAGGACAAGAATAATTAGCAAAGAATATAGCTCCTAGAGGCAGTGAACCAAACTCTGTTATGTTAGTATCATTAGCAGATATCAGTACTCCATCTGATGAGAGAGGAATAAATAACAATTGGTAAATTAAAATGTCATTACTTTACCTTCAAATCCACTTGAGTTACAGAATAATCTTGGGATATTGTTAGAGATATAGCCAATGTTATTACATATGCCATAAATGGTATTATCAATACAACTTGCTACTATACCAGTCACTGAATAATAACCAGGAGATGATGTATTGACTGGATTATAAATAAAGTATCCTTCATCACAAACTATGAGGATGAAAAAATAAATAAACAGTTAAATGAAAAGAGGTCTAAAAGGCTAACAGTACTTACTGCGTTCTCTTCTAGAGCACTGTATCACATAGTTGTATGAACTATTGGTACACTGTGGATTAGTGGTAAAATTAGCTGAGCAATTGTCATAATGAACAGCATCAGGTGGACATGTATAGTTATTATAAAATTGTGTTCCTTCGGGTAATGTTCCATATAAAGCTTGATCCATGTTAATAGATGTACCATCTGAATAAGAGAAATAAATAATAACAAACACAATAATAAACATACTCTCATATCCTAATGCATCACAGAGGAGACTGGCAGGATCATCATAAATATCTACCATCATTACATAAAGCAA